AGGCTCAGAATCTTACGGGGGTCAGACTTCCCATCCTTCTCCCAGGGAGCACGTGGAGGGGCTGGACTGTGACCTTCTGGCTGGCAGCCCGACGCTTCCCGTGCCACCAGGGTAAATACTGCACTCAGCTTGCTGATGTCCTGTGTGTTGTCTGCAGCCCATCCCCGACGTTGTCAGGCCAGGTCCTTCTCTATTGGCTGATATCCTTTCTCCCCAGTGCCCAGCACATGATGGCTATTCAGACAATTGTCCCTCAGGCTGGTGGCTCTTCCCTAGGACCTGCTTCAGACCCTGGACTGGTCACTCTCTTCACTCTCTTTTTTTTTTTTTAATTTTATTATTTTTGTGTGCGTGTACCGTCAAATCAGATCTGACTGGTACAGGAGGAGATTGCCCCTCCTTTCCTGGCAGAGCTTCTGGTGGATTCGAACCGTGCACCTCTGGGACTGTAGTTGCAGCTTCTTACCACTAGGCCACCTGAGCTCCCCTCTTCACTCTCTTTTAAAACCTTATTCTCTTCTCCAAAAGAAGAAGGGACGACTCCAGCTAGACATTCCTGACCCTCTCTTGAGTCCCTCCTGCCAACCTCTGACTGTGACTGGGAATGTGGTGTGGTCCAGGGAGGCGCCTGGGCAGGCGCTAATCCCCCGGGCTCTCTGCCACACAGCGAGGCTGCTGACCCGCTGTAGAGCCAGCCTGGCCCAGGCTGGCACCGTAGACTCTCAGCCAGCAGTTGACCTATGGCCACGCCGTGAGCCCTGGCCCGGCTGACTCGGCCAGTGGCTGGCCGCCAGGCTTGGGGCCTTGGAGCGGGCATGCCATTTCTGCTCTTCCAGAGGTCTGGGGCAGACTGTTCCCCAGTGAAGGGACAAGTGCACTTGCACTTGGGGGTCCACAGGTAGGCAGAGCTGGGCTGGGTCTGTGCAAGTGCCCCTTAAAGAAACGTCCCAGAGAGCATCCTCTGGTGGCTTTTCACAGCCAGGTGCCTGGCATGGTGCCCTTCTGAATTCTTGGCTGCTGGTAGAAGTGACAGCTCCCCTCCTCAAGGCCAGCAGGTGTGGTAAGGAAGTCACTTCAGACAAGGGCCCCAGATCCCAGGTGTGTATGGTGTGTCACCTGAGTGAGGTCACTGGGCAGGTGAGTGGGTGCAGCCAGGCCAGCCCCATCAGCAGATGGGAGGATGCCATTACTCAGGGCCAGTTCCAGAGACGGCACAGGGGACAGGAAGACACTATCAGCATTGTCCCAGAAGGCAGAAAGAAGGGACAGCTCATGGCACCAACCATACACACAACAGTTGGACCATCCTGTCTGTAGTTTTCACCGGCTGAGGTTTAGTAGCTCCCCAGGCCTTTCTTCCTAGTCTGGCTTAGTCTTCTTTATTCTGTCCAACGTCACAGCAGCATGTAAACCTGCACTGACAGACCAGTGGTGGCTGCCCGGGAAGCCCCTGGACCCTCTCCTGCCGAGTCACTGTCAACTCTTGACCACTTCCCTTAGGTTTCTGAGGCTGTGTTGTTATTTTTTTTTCTTTTTTTTAAATTTTTGTGTGAGTGTACCGTCATATCAGATTTGACTGGTTACAGGAGGAGATTGTCCCTCCTTCCCCGGCAGAGCATCTGGTGGGTTCGAACCGTGCGCCTCTGGGATTGTAGTTGCAGTTCCTTGCCACTAGGCCACCAGAGCTCCCTGTGTTGTTATTTTTATTTAAGGATTGTAAATTTTAATGATAGTAGATGGTCTCCTTTTTCCTCCCCAGAGCCAGCTGGCAGATTCAAACTGCTGACCTCTGGGTGATCTAATTTACTATTATTATTATTATTATTATTGTTGTTGTTATTGTTATTATTGTTATTATTTTATTTCCTTTGGGAATCGAAGCCCACATCTCCCACATGGAAAGTGACACTTCTGCGGGGAAGCCACCACTCTGGACTCAGGAGATCTAGTTCATTCACTGACTCCCTAGTCTGCCTGCCTGCCCCAGGGGTGTTTTACCGACTGCTGACAACCTGACCTGGCTGGAGCTTCCTTTCCGGGGACGTTGGTCTAGGTTATTTCTTTTCCTCCCTCTTACTTTGCCCCACATACCAGAATCATCACAGACCACTATTAAAAAATCCAAGCCCAGGAGGCACAGCAGTTAAAGCCCTTGACCCCAGGCGTGACCACTGTGGTGGTCTCTCCCAGTGACCACTGACAGCCTTGGAAACCCCAGGGGCTACCTCACTCCGCCGTGTAGAAGCCACCATGAGCTGACATGGGCTTGATGGCAGGAGGGTTTTGGGAACCGCACCCGGACCTTTAAGAGGAATTCCAGGGAGCATGGCTATGAGGGTGGTTTGAGAGCCCGCGGACAGCAGGTTGGCACCACCGTGGCTGGTCATTCCTGTGTGGAACAGGACTGCACGCAGCTCTGAAAACCCCCTTAGTGGCCATCCAGCCCCATCCCTGCAGGCAGCTCTCCAGGGACGCTCCTGGGACAGTTGGCGCAGGGGAAAGGAGAGGGCTGTGACCATTTCTGTGTTTTAACTAGGAAATACTCTCCTCTTTATAAACAAAACAGCAGCAACTGGGTGATGTCATCAAGTCCTCCTTGTGGGGCGCTGATGAGTCAGTTTCGACTCTGGCCATCCTGTGTGACGGGGTAGAACTACTCCATGAGGTTTGCTCATTTGGAATCTGTATGGAGGTGGGTCACCGCATCTTTCCTCTTGGTGCCACTGGGTGGAGTTGAACTGCCAGCCTTGCGGAGAGTAGCCAAGTGAGTAACCACGGAAGTAGCCAGGGAAGGCTCCTTGGTCAGTGCAGGGAAGTCCTGAAGGCCACATGATGGGACTCCAGGGCAGCAAGTGGTTCCTGCAGTCACAGAGACCACAGCCCTCATGTGCTAGGCCTGGCTGAGTTATCAGAGGTGGAGACAGACAGCAGGACGTAGCCGGGCTTAGAAGTGAGGGAGTAACGAAGGGTCCACCCTGAGTGAGGAAGAGAGGTGCTCTCTTAGAGGCCTCGAATCTTGGGTAAAGCTACCCAAATGTTGTTGTTGTTGTTATGTGGCGTCGAGTCGTTTGCGACTCATAGCGACCCTATGCACAACAGCCCTAAACCCTGCTCTATCCTGCGCCAACCGCACTGCCTCTGACACACCCATCCCGATTACCCCAGTCACCGAATCAATCCGTCTCATAGAGGGTCTTCCCCTCCTGCACCGTCCCTCCACCCTCCCAAGCATGATGTCCCTCTCCAAGGACCTGTCCCTCCTGGCAACATGTCCAAAGTATGTCAGACGAAGCCCCAGAATCCTTGCCTCCAAGGAGTAGCTTGGTTTAATCCTCTCCAAGATGAATCTGTTTGTTTTCCTGGCAGTCCATGGTACATTCAGTACTCTTCTCCAGCACCACAGCTCAAAAGCATCAACTCTCCTTCTGTCCTCCCTAGTCATTGTCCAACTCTCTGATAAATAACAAGCGATTGCAAAGACCATGGCCTGTATCAGACGCACCTTAGTCTCTCGAGAGACACCGTTGCTCTTGAGTACTTTAGAGAGGTCCCTAACAGCAGACTTTCCCATCGCGATACGCTTTTTGATTTCCTGACTGCTGGTGCCAAGAGTGTTGACTGTGGAGCCGAGCAAACTGAAGCTGTGAGCACTTTCAATCTCTTCGTCATCCATCCTGATGCTGCCGATTGGTCCAGTGGCGAGAATCTTTGTCTTCTTGACATTTTGAGCCTCAGTCAAATTAAGGTGCCAAATGAGGCACCTTAATTTTTTAAAATGCATTCCTACGTAGCACCCAAAGGGAGGTGTGGTGGTGTGGTCCCCATTACATATTGAGCTGTTATACAGAAGATTGGCTGTTTGAATCCACTGTCACTGAGGAAGAAGGCTGAGGCCCTCGCTCCTCTCTTGAGGATTTACAGCCTCAGAAACCACAGGAGGGTCATTACGAGTCGGAATCAACTCAGACAGACTCAGAGGCAGTGGGTTGTAGATGGCCCAGGGCCCTGCTGTCGGGCGCTGTATTTCAAAGGGTTGTTTCCCATCACGGACGTTGCAGCAGCACCTTGCAGAAGGCATTTGGCCTTCGTTCTCCACACCTGAGACTAATGAATGAGGGCCCGCCACACGAGAGGACTAACTGGGGCTGCGATTAAGCTCAGGAGGTTCCCATAATCCATCATGGGGAATCATATAGGAGCCCTGAGGTTCAGAGGACCTTCCTGGTTGGTGAACCCATAGAAGCGGTGGTTCATCCCTGTTCCCCCATCCTGCCATGTGACCCCTTGCAGACGTCATCCTGTGTGTACCTTGGTTTCTGTCTTATTAGGTTGTAATAATCAGGCTGTAGTCAGGTCCTCCCAGTGAATTCTGTGAGGTGTTAATGGAACCCCACCCTGCCCGGGATTGTAGATTTGGAGAGAGGCTTCGATTCTGTAGGGAAGTGCTGTGGGCTTGGGAGTGAAGCTCGAGTCAGCCACACCTAGAAACAGAATCTTAGATGGAGAGAGAGAGAGAGAGAGAGAGTGTGTGAGTGTGTGTGTGTGATGTGAAATGACTTGCTGCCAACTAGTCGGGAAGCAGAAGTTTGCCTATCGGGGAGTCCACGCCTGTCCTGGTGGCACAGTGGTTAAGCACTCGACTGCTCACTGCCCGGCCCACCGGCTGCTCTGCAGGTGAAGCTTGTGGCCGCTTCCGTGAGGGTTGGAAACCCAGTGGGACAGTTCTGCTCTGTCCTCTGTACTCGCTGTCCCTTTGCACCGGCTCAGTGGCGGTGGGTTTTGTACAGGGACGTGGGGGCGGGGGCGGGGAGTAGGGGTGCACAGATTTGTCTGGGTCTGAGCCCAAGCAGCACCAGGCCACAGCTGGTCCTGGAGGGAAGCTGTGGGGGCTGCGGTGTGGGGGGGGTGCTTTTGCCATTCGTGGAGCCGAATGCTTCGGTTCTGTCAGAAGCCAGACTCCGTGGTCTTACCTTGTCTAAAAATCTTTTCTTTTCCCCCAGAGGCTCATCCAAAATAGAGGAAGCATGCGAAATCTACGCCAGAGCTGCAAACATGTTCAAAATGGCCAAAAACTGGAGTGGTACGTGCCGGACCACTTGATTCTCAGCTCCAGTGCCACCTCTGTGCCCTCAGCGCCCAGTCCTGAGGGTCCAGCCGGGCCCACCTCTGTCCCCTTCTCATGCCGTCGCTGCCCTCGCTGGCCTCTTGGTCAGCTTCCCGACCCGACATGTAACACCGTCAGGGTGATGTGGGCTTGGGGTGGGGGGTGGAGAAGGGCTGTATATTTAATCTGCATGGTCCCTCTCCTCAATCACCACGCTTGCATGTCACCTGCGGTGCCCTCTGGTGGTGGACCTGAGTTTTGGGGTTCAGGGTTACCCTTGGGAGGCTTGTGTCTGCAGCCCTGGTCTGTGTTCACCTTTTCTTTGGGACCTTAGGGATTGGTGACCTGAGATGTAGGGGCTGGGGAAAGATCTTAGCTGGACACACCTGGCATTCTTCCTGTACTTGCTGGTGTCGGGGCTTCCCTGCGAGGCTGGGCTCCTGCCTTGGCCGGGCACCGCCCGTGGCGCTGCTGAGATCCTCTGCCCAGTGGTCTGGAGCGCTTGATCTTGGCCTCACCCCCTCCAGTCCCATCGTCTCTCCCACGACAGCTGGACTCAGCCTTCTCTTCCCTTCTCTTCCAGCCGCCGGAAACGCTTTCTGCCAGGCCGCCCAGCTGCACCTGCAGCTCCAAAACAAGCACGACGCTGCCACCAGCTTCGTGGACGCAGGCAATGCCTTCAAGAAGGCCGACCCCCAAGGTGAGGCCCAGGCTGGCCGCCTGGAGCACCAGGGACCAGAGCCGTCCTCAGGGTTCAGTGCTTGGGATAGACAGGTCAGGAAGCGCTCACACTGGAGGCGCACTGGCTACCCCCTGGCTCCCTGCCGCTGGCATTGGCTTCCTCCCGGTGCCTGCCTCCTTACTCGGCTCCCCCCACCTCCTGCACTCTCCCTCTTGCAACCTGGGGAGTATGAGAGTGGGAGTTCTATTCTAGACCCTCCATGTGCCAGGGGGAGCAGAAATCTGTTCTGCTGTCAGAATTAACAAACAGGAGGAGTGGGGAGCATCTGGGGCTAGCCAGGTAGCGTTTGCTGCCAGTGCAATCGGAAATGTCCCACCTGGCGTTTCTGCGCCCTGGTGGGGGTGTGTGTGGAGGGGATGAGTCTCGCCTTAGTCACCAGGGAACGTGAGCCCTGGCTTCCTGAGCCCGGAGTAGGGCTGCCAGGGCCCGTCTCTGTCCGACTCTGCTAATCCTGAGTGGAAAACAGCCCCAGGGCACCAGACCTTTGGATTTCACAGGCAAGCGTTTTAATTTACTTATTTTTAATCTCATTGCCAGACACAGGTCTTTTAATTTTAGCAAGCAAAGGCTGTGTGGTTGGTTGCTTGGTTTTGGTTTTGTTTTTTTTTAAATGACTGTCTCCAGCCACCGCAGGGCGCAGTAGTGGTTCAGCAGTGGAGTTCTCGCTTCCCACGTGGGAGACTGTGGTTCAGTCCTCAGCTAGCGTACCTCTCTGCCGGGGTCGCCGTCTGTCAGCGGAAGGCTGGCGTGTCACTGGGATGCTGACCGGGTGTCAGCAGAAGCTTGCACACTGAGGCAGGTTAACGAGAAATGCCTGGGGATCTCCGGCCGCAATTCAGCCAGGGCTCACCGCGGTCCAGCTGGCCAGCCCTGATGGGCAGCACGGGGTGGGACGGCCTGTTCGTCCCTCGTACACGTGGGGTCTTAGGGAGTCGAAAGCAACAGTGGCAGCTGGACTCACCTGTCACCATTCTCTTGAAAGAGGAGGGAAGTTGCGTGCAGGTTAAAAATACTAATGTGTGTGGGATATGTTACCTGGGGCCATCCAGTTGATTCAGACTCAGGGTGACTTCCGTGCATAGAGGAGGACAGTGCTGTAAGATTTTCCAGGCCAGGAGATTGCCAGGCCTTTCTTCCACAGTGCTTGGGGAGGGGTGGATAGTAAACACTTTGTGTGTGTACTAGCCCAGAGCTTAACCATTTGTGTGGACATACGCACCCCTGAGCTGAAGATTGACAGTCCCTCAGGGGCCCAGTGCTGGTTCTCAGTCTGGTGCTCTGTGGCCTTGAATCCCACAGGACCCCATGGTCAGGGATTCGCTCTTGGTGTGATGTGAGTCCAGCAGAGCCGGGCTGTCTTCTCACAGGTGGGGCTCCCCGAGAGGTGGTTTCCCGGCTGCACTGGGAGGGGTCTCCCCTGTGTACCTGTGTGTACATGCAGCGCCCCAGCACACCTGGCAGGTAGTCCCACGAGTCCACAGGAGGCCGAGTGAGTGAGGTGACGCCGAGGCCGAGCTGGGGGCGCCCTCAGGCTTGTTCCACTTGAATCACCCCGGGGGAGGCCCCTCCTCCTCAGTCTTCCCATCTGCTCCCTGGGGAAGTGGTCGGCCTGGAGACGCTGCGGCCTCTGTGACGTTTCAGCTGCTGCTCCTGAGTGACTGGAAGGACGGGTTTCTGGCCAGGCCGGCCCGGCCCTGCCCTGAGACACGTGCACTGCCTGCTCTTCACACAGACTCCAGAACATTCCACAGCCTGGCCCCGCTCGCAGCTTGAACGTGCGGGCCCCTCCTTGGCCTTTGATTCGGTCCCCGTGTCTCTGCAGTGTCACCCTGCGGGGCTGTGTTTGCTGCTCAGGACTTGACCTTGGGAAGCAGGGAGGGGAGTCGGGGTGTCCAGGCCTGGAGGGGCAGCACGCGGAGAGACAGCGTGGCCAGGCGGCTGTGTCACGAGCACAGACAAAAGCCCATGGCCGGCGCACGCTGCCCTCAGCTGCCCCTCTAAGGAGGGGACAGCACCGCTGGCTGGCTGGGGTGGGCCTTGCAGGTGCCCCCTCCCGCCCACATGCCAGGGAGAGCCTAATTTGGGCATAGCCGGGCAAAGAGGTGCCTTGGCTGGAGCAGGGCGGGGTGTGAGAGTATGCTGGCCTCCGCCGTCTGGGACCACAGCCAGCCTGCGGGTGGGGGAGAGGGTGCTTTGGCACCCACGGGTGACAGCTGCTTTGTGTCTGGGATCTCTCAGGCGTTGCACAGAAGTTCCGAGGCAGCTGTGTGCTGGCACCTTGGGGCCCGGCCTGCGCTCCTGGGCGGGTCCCTGGGTCTCTGAGCTAAAGCAAAGCACAGACATGAGGTCTATAGATACAAGTGCTCGAGTGCTCTCTGTCCCTTGATGAGGCAGTCCTGGGCCCCACTGGATTCAGTGGAGAGGGGGTTACTCCCACCTGGCCTGGGCTCCCAACGCCCACCCTCTGATCAGGGATCACTTGGAAAAGAATGAGGGAGGGGAAGCCCATTTGGAACCCGCCCCCGTGGTTCGAAGCAGGTGACCAGTTCCCCAGGCCCGTCCTCACCAGTCCTGCCAAAGACTGCTGTCTGGTGTCAGCACTTCAGGCCACCTGAGTCCGGGCATTTTGCCCGCCCCTCTGCTGGGTAGGCTGGGACCCTCATGGGGGCCTGGGGCCCAGGACACAGGATGTGGTGCCTCTACTATTGATGGGTCCTCAGCATCCCAGACAGCGCCTGCCTGCCGGAAACATGGTCTGGGTGGCAGCTCAGATGCCAGGTGGAGCCCTGGCTGCCTGTGTGACAGGGACAGGGACGGGGGCGGGGTGTCCCCGTGGGCACCCATTTCCTGTTACCTCTTCAGCAGTTTCCTAAATGCCTGGTGTGCGCCAGATGCTGCAAAGCCACCACCATCAAGTCGGTTCCGGCTCATAGCAGCCCCTCAGGACAGAGCAGACCTAACTGTTGAATGCTTTCCCAGCCTGTCATTTTTTTTAAAAAAAATTTATTTTATTATTTTTACATGTACTGTCAAATCAGAGCTGACTGGTACAGGAGGAGATTGCCCCCTCCTTTTCCAGCAGAGCATCTGGTGGCCTTGAACCCTGTACCTCTGGGATTGCAGTGCAGCGTCTTGCCACTAGGCCACCAGAGCTCCCTCCCAGCCTGTCATTTTTGTGGAAGCAGATAGCTCTGGTAGGCTCAAACACTCAACCTTTCCAGCTGGCAGGAAAAATGATTGTAACCACTGTGCTAGCCGGGCGCCTACCAGATGCTTCACATATGATTTCTGTCCGTGCCACCTCCTTGTGAGGCTCCACGGAGCAGGAAGTGGGCCAGGCACTTGGGGTGGCCAGGGAGACTCAGAGAGGCGAGGACGGCAGCGGGCTGAAGGCCTGGCGGGTCCTGGATCACCACTCACCCGTCTGCTTATGGCAGGGCCCCATCTGGAAGTCCAGACCTGGGGCTGGAAGATTCCAGAGATCTCAGTCAGCTCTGTCTCCTTGCATGGTGGCTAGCTGAGGGGTGAGGCCGAGCTGAGGACGTGACACCCGTTGTCTGCCCTTGATAACCTGGGCAGACCTTGTGCAGAGGAACTCGTGGGGCTTCCCACCAGCCCCAACTCTGCATCTCACCAAGGCCGCATGTGGGCTGGCCCCTGCCTGCCGGGCCAGGTGGGGTGTCCGAGCCTTCCCTTCTGAGCCGGAGAGGGAGCCAGCGAGCAGCCTGGGCACGGCCGAGGATGGAGCAGGGCTGGGTCCTGGGGTCTGGGGTCCAGGCAGCCGCTTCCTCACCCTCCCACCACATCGCACCAGCTGCTCCCTCATCAACATCTTTTGCTGTTTGTACTATTAAAGAGAGAGTGTGTGTATGAGAGAGAAAGAATAAGGCTTTAGGCTGCGGGCAAAACCGACTATCTGGTTGAGGGCTTTGTCTTTTTTTAAAAAAATTTATTTATTTTTTTATTTCTTTTATTATTTTTGTGTGAGTGTACCGTCAAATCAGATCTGGCTGGTACAGGAGGAGATTGCCCCTCCTTCCCCAGCAGAGAATCTGGTGGATTCGAACCGTGCGCCTCTGGGATTGTAGTTGCAGCTCCTTGCCACTAGGCCACCAGAGCTCCCCCGAGGGCTTTGTCTTGTACACGGGGTTTCCCGGATCAGAGCTTCTCTGATGACAGCTAGCTGCCTGCGAGGGCCATGATTTTCGGGGTTGTATTCTCTCCCTCGCCTGTCCTGCACTAACTGTGACTCTCTGTTACAATCATCATCGTTGCCACCGGCTCCCCACTGACCCCGTGGAGTGTGCACTGACACACACGCTCTGCACCTCTCACTTAATTCCCCACATTTGACAAGAACCTACTCCCCCTCCCCAGAGTAACCCACACGTCACCCCCCTCTTTTGCCTGTAAATAGGGAGTCCATGGACTCTGCAAGTCCAGCCCTGGTCCCTGGCCAGCAGACCCCCGCCCCCCCCCGCAGGTGTCCCGGCTCCCGGAAGCCCCTAAAGAGTGGGCACCAGGCCTTGTCTGTCCATAAGGTGCTGTCACGTCCATAAGGTGCTGTCACGTGGGGCAGCCCAGTGGGGCGGAGACGGGGTGCTGGGCCATGAGGTGAGCGCTCATCTTGCCCTCCTTCCAGGGCTGAGTGCCAGATCCGGCCTTCGCCAGGTGCTCCCCCTTCTCCCACCCCCTCCCCTGCTGCCTCCCCCCCTTCTCCTGTGCAGCCTCAGCGGAGGTGTTAAAATAACCTCCCGAGAGTGCAGTTCTCTCTGCCAGAGGATGCCTCCCACTCATGCTTTTCTCTCTCCTCCAAATAACTTGTCAAAAAAGAAAGCCTTTCCCAAATTGAAAACCTTGCAAGAGATAGTACAACAAAGGTAGCCCCCCTCCCTCACCTCGAGTGCCACCCTGGCTGCTGGTTTTGGCAAACCTGAGGTTAGAGTGGAGTTGGCGGAAGTAGCGACTATTCCCGGGGAGAGGTGGAGGGTCAAGGCCTTTCCCAGAGCCTAGTGTCCGGGGAGAGGGGAGATGGCAGACTGGGAAGGCTTCTGTGTCCATACCCGAGGGCCAGACTCGGGCAGGGGCCACCAGTGACAGGCCATCTGGGTCCCTGCCCTGATCTGGGCCAGAGTTCTGTCCTTCCAGAGCAGGCTGTAGCACTTGTGGCTCTGAAAACCCCCTAGAGTCCAGGCGACAGGCTGACCCAGTGCCAGCCACACCCTGAAGTGGCCAGGAGGTGGTCCCTGTGGGGGCCCAGGAAGAAGGCAGCCACCTTTGGGCCCCCACGTCCTGGGTCCAGCTCTCTCTGTCTGCAGATGAGGTTGGCTTGAAGGACCCTTTCACCCTTCCTCAGGGGCCAGCAAGGAGGGGGCCTGCAGCCTGAAGCCCTGGGCCCAGCAGGGAGGGGGCCTGCAGCCCTGGGGGTTCAGCAGGGAGGGGCCTGCAGCCCTGAGTCCAGCAGGGAGGGGCCTGCAGGCCACAGCCCCGGGCCCAGCAGGGAGGGGCCTGCAGCCCTGAGTCCAGCAGGGAGGGGCCTGCAGGCCACAGCCCCGGGCCCAGCAGGGAGGGGCCTGCAGCCCTGAGTCCAGCAGGGAGGGGCCTGCAGGCCACAGCCCCGGGCCCAGCAGGGAGGGGTCTGCAGCCCCTGCATGCTATTGATCTCTTGCTCTTGGCAGAGTGACTTCAGCATCTTACGTCTCCTCCATTCTCTCCCCAGAGGCCATTAACTGTCTGATGAGAGCAATTGAGATCTATACCGACATGGTAAGGGTCATCTGTGGCCTGTCTGCATCTTCTCCTCCTACCTCTGCAGACTGGGAGGGGGTGGGGCCCCCCTGGCGCTGTAGGGCATCCTGGTTCTCCTGTGACTCCCTCGAGGCCCAGTTCCCCGCCAGCCTGGCTCCTGGCCATGCCTGCTCCTGTGTGCTCATTGCTTGGGAATGTGTCCAGCGTGTCTCCCCCTGGCCAGCTCTTTCCAGCTCTGTTTGTTGGGTGCATTTCCTGGGACAAAAGATTGAGGGGTCATCAGAGTCAGAGCTGGGCCTGTCTCAGAAGACTTGAGTAGCTTTTGGCCAGTCTGGGAGGCAGGAGTTGGGAACTTCCTGTCTTCTCTCTCTCTCTCTCTCTCTCTCACACACACACACACACACACACACACACACACCCACACACACCCTATGTCAGCACTGTCTGCAGGAGCACTGACCCTGTGTCCTCCGAGCCGTCATGTCCAGGACAGCGGCATTGCTGTAACTAGAGTTCCAGTCATCACAGCCATTGCCCTTCACTGACCCCAGCACCCTAGTGGAGGGCAGTATATCAACCCGTCACAGCTGAGGAAAGGGGGCTCAGGCCAATGAGGTGACCAGTGCTTGCTTGGGGTGTCACCAGACCAAAAGCCAGGCACAGAGGACCCCAGATCCCCCAGGCTTCCCTGCAGCCCCCCAGCCGTCTGCCCTTTTGCACACCTGTCCCCATGTACACAGCAGCAGGCAGTTCCTGGGACACCAGTAAGGGAGCCAGTGGCCCACCTCCTCTTGCTGGTGGCCCCTGTGGTGAAGCATTGAGCCGCCACAGACGGGCTGGGACTCTGTCCTCCACCCTGGCTTCCCCTCTCTCTGCCAGGGCCCGGCCGGCCTTTCATCTCTGAGCAGGCCGAGTGCTTCCCGAGATGATCCCCCCCCCCCAGCTCCACAGCCTGCACGCTGGTCTCTGATCCCCGGCCCTCTCTGGGCCCCTCTCCTAATGGGGTGTGGGGAGGCTGAGGGGGGTCAGAGGGTGCTGATGGGGCTGGCCTAGGCTCCTGGGGGGCCGTCCCTGCTGACAGTGACCTGCTGTGCCCTGCAGGGCCGGTTCACAATTGCAGCCAAGCACCACATCTCCATCGCTGAGATCTATGAGACAGAGCTGGTGGACATCGAGAAGGTCAGCGGGCGGGCAGGGCCCTGGATACACCCATCTGACATCTGAAGAGGGAGGGTGGTCCAGACGGGCCCTGAGGGTGGTGCTCCCTGTCCTCAAGCCCACCTCCAACCCTGTGTCTTCCCCAGGCCATCGCCCACTACGAGCAGTCCGCAGACTACTACAAGGGCGAGGAGTCCAACAGGTAACGTGGAGGGCAGCTCCTGCAGTGTGTCGGCCCCGAGCCTCGGGCAGACTGGCCCCTCACCACCCGCCCTCCTCCCACCCCCAGCTCAGCCAACAAGTGTCTGCTGAAGGTGGCCGGCTACGCAGCGCAGCTGGAACAGTACCAGAAGGCCGTGGACATCTACGAGCAGGTGAGGCCTCCCCGCCCTGGTCCACTGCCCACCCTGCCATGCACGTCCTCACCTTCCCTTGCGCACAGCCTGGCTGGACACTTTCCTGGGAGGGGGGGGAGAGAGAGAGAGAGAGTGAGAGTGTGTGTGTGTGTGTGTGTGTGTGTGTGTGTGTGTGTGTGTGTGTGTGTGTGTGTGTCCCTCCCAACCCCCCTCACTTCCTCCCCTCACAAACGTACATGCACCGCATTCTCACCCCACACACAGATGTCGGACCAAGTTGGGGGAGCAGGAAGGGTTTTCAAGGCCTAAGTGGCCATGAGTGGAGGCCTGGAAGAATGTCCCTTTTCCTTTTGTGAAGGTCCCTCCAGGGAGAAGTGCCATGTGGGCACCCGTGCTCCCCCTCCTTGTGTGTGTGGGGGGGTGCTGGGTGGGACCAAGTAGCCCCAGCAAGCAGCTGGCCTTGAAGGAAAAGGGGTGGGTACCGCCTCGCATGTTCCCAGTACTGCCGCCCCCTGCCCACCGATGTGCCAGCTTTCTGAGGCCCTGACAGCGGCCGTCCCTGCCCACACTCGGGCGCCGAAGGCGGTGCATAGCTAGGGGCCTGGTGTGTGCCCTCTCCTTCGTCACGCAGGCACCAGAGGGAGGCAATTAGGGCTTGGCTGCCCGCCCCGAGCTCACAGTGTCCCCTCCCCATGGCCACAGGTGGGGACCAACGCCATGGACAGCCCCCTCCTCAAGTACAGCGCCAAGGACTACTTCTTCAAGGCGGCCCTCTGCCATTTCTGCATCGACATGCTCAACGCCAAGGTGAGCCCCTCCCCGCGTGTGTGTCTGCAGCTCTGCAGCCCACGGACAGGCCGGCCTCTTCACTTTCACCTCCGGGCCGCCTCGCTCCTGGCTTCGTGCCAGCCGCTCCTCTCCAAGGGGACTGTCCTTCCTGCAACGCTCCATGATCCTGTGTCACCCCAGCTCCTGGGTGACAGGGCCGGAAAGGACCGTGCTCAGAGCCCCGTGTCTGACAACCTGTGACCTCAGGACTCCAGATCTTTCTGACCCCGCATTTATGACTTGAGCCTCAGCCTGCATGCTGTCCACCTGCTGCTTGTCCACAGAGGGGGTCAGGGCTGGGCGGGGATGGGCTGCTTAAGGGAGTGAGTTAAGAGTGGACGTTAGCGTGTTCTTCAAATGGGCTTTCTTTTTTTAGATCAGTGTTGGTGGTGTTGGGTGCCATCGAGTCAGCTGTAACCCACAGTGACTCTGTGAACAGGAGATGAGAACCCTGCCCTGCCCTGCACCATGCTCACAGTGCCCATGTGAGCTCCGGGGTCCCTGACAGTCCATCTCGCAGTGTTAGGTGGTACCATCTGGGGATGGCCTCTGCTCTCCTTTAAGTCCACGAGGACAGGGGATCACCGTTAGCATCTGGTTCCTGTGAGGCAGAGGGAGGTCAGTCAGGCCTCCAGCCTCCTGCAGTCCCGCCGCCCACTCTCCCTCCCACAGCCTTCTCCACAGAGTTCCATAGTTCATTGCAGTGTCCACACAGAACCCACAGTCGGTGCTCAGCAGTTACAGGGTTTATTAGGGAAGGAACAGGGCACACTGAAGGATCAGAGAAGATTTTGGATACAGTTCTTCAGTGAGAACAGGCTCCTCAGATGTGTCCACAGGTCTTTTCAGGCCTCTTGGACCTGTCCAGCTGGTGCCTTCCTTGTACAAGTGTTATGAAGCCCTTTGGTTCTGCTAGTCAGTGCCAGGAGGGTCCCTGCTCCACCATGAGGCCTCCTGGTAGCTCTCTCTTCTGAGCCAGGAATCCCCCCCAGCACCATGTCCTGCCAGCCCCTGGGCCTCCTGGTCCTGCTGCCACTGCCTGGTTGTCTGCTGAGGTAGCAGCGTCTCATGGGATAGGATGTTCTCAGCACAGGGGCCCCAGGTCTGTTCCCATCTCTTCTTGGTTGTACCCAGGTCCTCCCTGTCTGCCTCAGGGATGACTTATTTTAAGTCCAGTGGGTTGGCTAAACGGGCCAGTCACCTCATTAGGTTTCCACACACTTTATTTGCATACCCCAACAAGAGCCTTGGTGCCACCCACAAGGGTGCCATGGGCCCTATTTGCATTTTGACCAAGCTGTCCAGTCCCCGTGGTGGACCACAAGCCGCTTCTTCGCATAGCCACACCCTGTCGTCGTGTGGGGGCCACAAAGACCATGGGTGGAAAGAGGCCACTCTCTTAAGTAACTGGCTGGACTGCGTGGTTATAGACATGTGTGCAGGAAGTGCGGAGAAGTCCTGTGTTTCCCTTTCCTCCTCCAGGCTTCTGTCAGTAACATCTGGCACTCCTGCCGCTGTATTTGTCACAGTCTGTGGCCCAGCGCTGGTACGACAGTACTGACTGGGAGTCCCTGGTGTGGTGCAGATTGTTTACCGACCTACTTACTCAGCTTCTGACTGAGAGCTTGCTGGTTTGATTCCACCCAGGGCCCCTCAGAAGAAAGAGAAGGGGTGGACACACACAGAGTCGGAAGCAGCAGCTGGTTTGTGTTAAATTATTAACTGGAGTTTGCAGTTCCCATTGGGGTTCACTCTGCATTTGTGCGGTGCTGCGCGTGTTGGCAGATGTATGTCCACAGGACGGTATCATACCGGATCGCTCCCCTGCCCTGAAGCTGCCCTCTACCCCGCCCTTTCACCCCACACCCTCCTGACTCCCTGGCAGCCACTGAGGTTTTCACTGTCCCCAGATATTTGAGTTGATGAACCATTGTCCCTGAGCCCAGGTGCACCTGGTGGGCCCCTCCCCAGGCTCTGGGGTCCCTGGCTCTTTCTCGCTGCCCTGCCTTCATCTGACATCCCCAACGCTGAAATGAAAACTCACCTCACCTACTCCTTTCTTGGGCACCTGGAATAGCCATTCAGACCCTGACTTCTTGCTCAAGGAGGTCACTTTCCCCTCTCTGGGTTTGCTTTCCCACTTTTTTCTTTCCTCTTAGGTTTTTTTCGTTGCTGTTGTTGTGATTTGAGTACAGAGCACACGGGCCTTCTGTTCAGCCATTCACATGCAGTAATGCCTTGTAACATCGATTATAATCCCCATGATGAAGCTGCACTCTTCCCATTTCCTCCTTGTGATTCTTGTTTCCACTCATCCTCTTTCCTATCCCTTCCTGCCTTCTGAGCTTTCTCCCTGGAAAAAAGGGGTGACTTTTTGTTCTTGTGTGGTTGATTGGTCTAAAGAGAGAGGACCTGCCTGTCTTGTTACTGTTCGCCATCTAGGCCTGCTATTTGACTGAAATATGAGCCACAGGGGGTTAGTTCAGTTCCACGCTCAGAGGGTGATTGAGGGCTCTATTCCTGGAGCTTCCCTAGTCTAGCACACTAGAAAGCCCAGTTATTGTAGTAATTTTGAGAGTTTTGTTGCACGTTTTTGTCCCACTACCCCTTCAGGCCCTCCTGCTGTAATCCTGATGAAAGCAGCATATAGTGGGAGTTGGGCACCATCTAGTGCCTCTGGGCTCAGGGTAGTGGAGGCTCTGGTTTGTGTGGCCCCCGAGCCCTGCAGATGAATTGGGCCCTTGAGTCTTTGCTTTTCTTCCCCCTTCTCCCAGATGGAGAGAGACTTCGTAATTGCTCCTTCGATGGCCTCTCACAAGCTCTTCAGACCCCTGTTCACCAAAGCCGGGTGTAGAACCTTCTCTTAGACTTCTCGTAGACTTTGCAGTGCCAGCTGGCCTTGATGTCCCCAGAGACGATGGTCCTGAGGCCCCAGGACCAGCAGCTCGCTCCCTAAGAGTGCTTGGTTATGTCTAAATGGTTTCTTGTTGAGAACACGCACAGCAAAAGCTCTACCGAATTAAAAGTTTTTACTTGCGCGGTTGAGTGACGCTGATTAAGTTCACGCTGTGCAGCTCTTCTGGCCTTCCTTAACCTCGGCATCCCTCCTACACCCCCCCCCCCTTCACACAGACTCTCAGACCTTATCTAGCCTTTCCAGTTGGCTCTTGTCAGCTTGATCTCAGAGCTAGTTCTGAAAGAGCCCAGTGCTCAAGGCTGAAGCTAAACTGTTGTTTGAAGATGACTTGAGGGACTATTTTTGGTTTAATGCTTCCCCACTTTTAAAATAGAAGTAGGGGTAGCCCTACCTTGACCCTTCTGGGGTCCTTGGGAAAGCCTGGGTGCAGGAGGCTTTCATGGAAGGCTCCTCCCACTGTCGAGCTGCCGAGAAGGGCCAGGCCTGGGGAGCCCACGGATGCTAGTGTGGGAAACCCGCCCTGGCCTCCCTTCTACAGCTGCCTTCTCTGCAGCCAACTGCGCTCAGCTCCCTCCTGGAGGTGCCCGCCAGGCGCTGAGCCAGGTGACACCGGAGGGAGGCGGGGGAGGGGCATGGCCGCTGACTCAGGCCTGCCCGCGTCCCCAGATCCCCTCGGCTGCCAGGCCAGCAGCTCCCTGTTCCTTATTAACCAGCCGCTGCCCTCTTTCCTCCCTCCGTGCTCAGCTCGCTGTCCAGAAGTACGAGGAGCTGTTCCCGGCTTTCTCCGAGTCCCGCGAGTGCAAGCTGATGAAAGTGAGTGTCTGGCCCCGAGTTGGGGGTGTCCCCTGGGTGACACGGACTTGGTGCCTATCCCGAAGGGAGTCCTGGTGGCATGGTGTGTGACGTATCAGGCTGCCCACTGAAATGTCAACGGCCCCAGTCCACCAGCCTGCTCCATGAGCGTACAGTCCATGGGCAGTCTCTTCCCCTTTGAAGCTTAATGAAGGTCACCATGAGTCAATGCTAGGCAGTGCGTTTACTAACATAAAGGTTGGCAGTTTGAAGCTGCCCAGTGGTGCAGTGGAAGAAAGGCCTGGCTGTCTGCTCTGGGACAGATGGCAAGCCAGAAAGCCCGGGCACAGTTGTGTCCCCCGAGTTGGAGCCGCCTGAACAGTGAGGGGGTCCAGAGACTGAGCTTCAGTTACTACAATAACCCCAGGATTTGCACAAAGCAGAGTTTTGCCATTTGAGTCCCATTTCTAGGAGGAGCTAAGCGCAGAGGGAGGAGTTCCAGTTAGGGATACCCCCACCCCATTATTGTGCTGCTGAGATCCAGCGATTTCAGGTTGAAGAAAGCAGAGTTAAGGAGCCTTAATGACACGCAGTGCCGACTCTCAGGGCAGCAGATTGGAAAAGGAGGGGAGGAGTCTTGGTGGTGAGATGGTTGAGCGCCCAGCTGCTAACGGGAGGTATTGAAAGTTCAGACCCACCCAGCTCCTCTACAGGAGAACGGCTGGGCGTTCCGCTCCCTCGAAGGTTACAGCCTAGAAGACGCTGTGGGACCGTTGCACAGTGTACATGGGGCCGTTCTGAGCCTGGATTGACTTGAGAGCCCCTGGTACTGGGATAGGCACACTGCCCCCGATGTCAGCCCAGCAGACCAAGCGCTGGGGCTGCCCCAGGCCTGCCCTGACCCCGCCCACCCTCACCTTGCAGAAGCTGCTAGACGCCCATGAGGAGCAGAACGTGGACAGCTACACTGAGGCGGTGAGTGGCCAGCAGGCGATGGTGACCTGCAGAGTTGGGTCACCAATGCAGGGAGCGCCACCCCCTCTTTTTCTAATCTCTGGGCTCTGAATGTGAGTTCTTTCTCTCATCACCCTGAAGACTCAGGTTGCCCTGAGTGGTACAGGGAGTGGCCTCCCCATTTCACAGGCTGAGCCGAGTGAGGCCTCCATCTGCCTGTTCTGAAGTCTTGGCCCCTTCACCCACGGAGCCACCCCGGACAGGCTCACCTGGAGCTGCGGGCAGGGTGCCCTTCCAGCACCTCCTTCCCTATAGACCTCCCCACACGTCTGTTGTCCCTTCTTTGTTCTCTTGTTAAACAATCTGGAACTCAGTGATGAGCGCACGCTGCCTCCTGTGCCCTAGACTAATCTGTCCATTTTAAGCCTGAAGTGAGGACAAGGGGACAAGCCCCTCGGGTCATCCTTCCCCAGAGAGGGGCCAGAGGGGCGAAGTGGGGGAGGAGGGGTACAGCCTCTCTCCTCGTCCCCACAACTAGGACTCGTATTCTCAGGCCTCAGTTTCCCCTCCGTAAAACAAAGAGGCCAGGCCTGTCTGTCGGATCTAGATGGTCTGTCTGCTCTTCAGTGAGCTCGTAGGCTAGAGTCCTACGGGCGGGCTCGGGCTGCCGCTGGGGCGCGCCCTCTCCAGGGCTGACAGGTGTCATGCTCACCCACTTCCGGTGCCCCCAGGTGAAGGAGTACGACTCCATCTCACGGCTGGACCAGTGGCTGACCACCATGCTGCTTCGCATCAAGAAGACAATCCAGGGCGACGAGGAGGACCTGCGCTAGGCCCTGGCCCCGCCTGCCTTCTCCCTCTGCTCCCCTGGCCCCCGCACCCCAGTGAGGATCCGTCACCAGCGGGGAGGGTGGGGCCTGGGCCTGGTGAGACCTTCCCACCGCACCCCACCCCACCTGAGGGGTCTCGCAGACCAAAGCCAGGGCTGCATGGGCTCAGCACAGACGGGCCGGATGTCACCACCTGTCCTGTCCTCGCACCACCCCTCGCCCCTGCCCGTTATTTAAGGCCTGCCTCCTGTGCCCTTCTCCACCCAAAAAAGCCCAAAGCTGTACAGAATCCTCCATGAAGATCATTGGCCGAAGGCGCTGCTGGGCCCTGAGGTCAGCACCCAGCTGCTCCTCTCCAGGGAAGCTTGTTTCTGGCCCCCCAGACCCCCTAGCTGAGCTCTGAGCACTCTACCTGTCTACCCCAGGGGGACTCCTGAACCCCCTTCCCCTGCCGCCCCAGCCTCTCAGGTTAGACTTGGCCCTGGAGCACAGAGGGTCCCCCTGGTACTGCCCTCTCCCTGGCTGCCCCTCCCCTAACGCTTTGAGGTTCCTCCCAAGTCAGAGCCACAGTTGGCCCCAGAAGGAAAATAAAATACCCACCACTTTTTTGCATGAGTCTCTCCTTCTCACCTCTGCTGACCCCTGGTCTTCTGTCCCCCACCCCGGGGGCACCGAGAGGCAAAATAGGGCAATGCAGGGAGGAACCACTATCTTGGAATTAAGGACTCCTCAGACTCTCCGAGCCTGAATATGGTGAACCCGGACCAGGGTGCAGGTGTGGCTGCATTGTGACTGTCCTGAAGGAAGAAATCACACCAGTGTCCCCTCCTCACCTGTGTTCCTCTTCACCCAAACCAAGTTCAAAAGCTCCAGCAGCATCTAACGCAGGACAGGGAGGGAGCGGGTGGATGTGGGGAGGGTGTGTGCTTCACTCCAGAAAGGTGACAAGGACCACCTTTGATGTCATCTGCCTGCAGTCAGATGGCAGGTTATACATGCCTGTGCCCCAGCCAGCGAGGGCTGGGCCCTCTGCAGTGTGGGGGTGACACCGGAGGAGGAGGAGGTGTGCCTTGGTAAAGTCTGGAAGGAAACTACGCAGAGCTGCAGAGGAGGGGCTGTCCCCCACTATCATGCTGGCTCCTCCCACAGCCCCATTGCATTGGTAATGGCTGCCTAGAGCTCGGTGAAGACTCCTGGGACCTACGATCGATTATCAATGTGTGCCATGGCCGCTGACTAAAGAATAACTGGAGAGCGAATCCATCCCTGCCATCTGTGACCTCAATCAGCTGTTCACAACCATGGCTGCATTTCAGTAAAGGACTCAAACCTGGACACACCTTAGGGAATCATTTTGATTGAGGCTCCCCAGTCTTTTGTTTGTTTTTTAAGCTCCACAGATGGCCCTACTGTTGAAACTTCCCACATGGCTTAAAAGCTGTTAGCTCCTGAATGGTGTTACTCTGTCCTTCCTCAAGCTATGACTTTAATTCATTTATTCACTTGAGCATAAAATGAAGATGGTTTAGAGGTTATCAAGTGGGCAGAGGAAAACCAACCTACTTCAGGGGTGACAGAACCGGATCACACCTTCTTTTCACTCTGCAGGTATTTCTTAGGCATCCCCTGTGTGCCAATGAGGACAGTGGTGGTTTAGTGGTAGGATTCGCACCACCTTCCATGCAAGAGACCTGAGTTTGATTCCCAGCCAGTGTACAAGGCAGCCCCGGCTTGCATGTTGCTGAACAGCTTTCAGTAGAGCTTTCAGATGAGAACAGACTAGGAAGAAAGGCCTGGTGATCTACTTCCCAAACTCAGCAAATGAAATAGAGCAAAAGGATCTGACCCTCAAATGATCATGTTGATGCCACAAGACTGAGCGGCATTTTTGTTTTATTCTGTTGTGCATGGGGTTGTGAGGAGTCAGGTGTCAACTTGACAGGTGCTGACAACTACGTGCAGAGCCCAGTTTTAAGCCCTGGAAATGTAGCTATAATGAATATACGGAGTCCCCAACTTCTGGGAGCTCACTCCCACTACCAGATTCAGAAGGCTGGGATTGACACAAATGGCTTTATAGTTACCATCTTCCAAATACGATGTGCCTTTGAGAACCACCCGTGTGCTGTCTCATGTCCCGTGTCCTGGCTGCCTGGCAAAGTATTTGGCACAGACTGACTCCTAGCATGTTGACGGAATGTCCGCCTCACGCCAGCCTTGTGTCTGATGCTGCAGACTGGCTGTGACCAAGGGCAACTTGGCTGCTGCCTTCACAGGGTTTGCTGTTATTTACTGTTATTACTTACTCAAAGTTTCCAACGAGGAGCCATGGACCACCCGTTTTACATCTCTTGGTCTGTCTTTGCTCATTGACTTTGAAAAGAGAGGGAAGAGCGCGCAGGCGCAATGAAGGAAAAACTGGGGAAGGGAGGGCGCAGGACCTGGCCGCCATCCTTGTAAAGGGCAACAGCCGTGGCTTCTCTACGTCATCAGTCTGAGTTATGAGCAGGTACCTGGCCGTCCATGTCGCTTGGAGAGCAGCAGCGGGTCTGCTAAATTGGCAGCGGCTGGGGCTTCGATCAGGGTGAGTGGCTGCGGGTCGTGATGGGAGAAGCGGCGGTGGCCGCGGGGCCGTGTCCCCTGCGCGAGGACAGCTTCACGCGCTTCTCGTCGCAGAGCAATGTGTACGGGCTGGCAGGCGGCGCGAGCGGGCGCGGGGAGCTGCTCGCTGCCACCCTTAAAGGCAAGGTGCTCGGCTTCCGCTACCAGGACCTCCGACAGAAAATCCGGCCCGTGGCCAAGGAACTGCAGTTCAACTACATCCCCGGTGCGTGGCGCTATGACGCTGGGGGCGGGGGAAGCGCAAGGCTGGAGTTAAGACGGGTTCTGAGGCTCAGTCTGAGCTGGATCTTGTTAGAGTGGGATCCAGGTGACTGAAGGGGGTCAAAGGTCATAAAAATCAGAATTCAGAGGTGCATTCTAGGGGGCTGCAGCTAGCTTGGGTTCGGTATTACAAAAACTCAGAAGAAATCAGGGATCCCTCACACCCAGCTGGCTTGGGGGACCCCATGATGAATGACATCAGATCTCAAACCAGAACCTGTCATCCGATCACAGGCCCATTGCCATGGTCAGAAGTTACTAATTCCTAGAGCTCGGGGGACATGGTGTCTTAGGGTGATGTTAAGAATCCCTCTGAAATACAAACTTTGAACTGCCCCCACCCAGTGGACGCAGAGATTGTCTCCATTGATACCTTCAACAAGTCACCCCCAAAGCGGGGCCTCGTCGTGGGGATCACGTTCATCAAGGTAACCTCCTGGATGCCTTCTGTGTCCCAGCATCATTCCCCCCACTCCCTTCTCTGCTTTAATCGCAGGGTGGAGGCTGGGAGCCTGACCCAAGCCCCTCCTGCCTCCCTGCCCTCTCTTGAGACCTGTTTCCTCCCCACAGGATTCGGGAGACAAGGGCAGCCCTTTCCTTAACATTTACTGCGACTACGAACCTGGCTCTGAGTATAACCTGGACTCCATTGCTCGTGAGTGGAGCCCAGAGGGGAGGGATGGGATGGGTCGGAGTCTCCCAAGCAGCCCCTTGCTCATCTGTCTGTGCTCCCCTCACAGAGAGCTGCCTGAACCTGGAGCTCCAGTTCACCCCTTTCCAGCTGTGCCATGCAGAGTAAGTGAGGCCAGGGAGCCCTGGTGTTGCAGTGTATTAAACTATCAGGCTGCCAGTCAAAGGGTTGGAGGTTCAAACCCACGAGCCACTCTTCTGCAGAAAGACATGACAGTCCACATCTGTGAAGATCGTGGACTTGGAAACTGTTCTGCTCTGCCGTAAGTCGAAATGGACTGGACGGCTGGCAGTAGGTTGGATAGTTACGGCATTAGCACAGACGGTGGTAGTCAGGTGCTCCATCTAGGAAATGAAGCCCTAGATAGGGATTGAAAATGGAAATGCCTTTAGGGGCTGGGGAAGGAATCAGGAGGGTGGAAGGAAGCAAGTCAAGCAAGAGGGTGGAGTAGGGATGGTGGCTGGAGACTGCAGACCTGCCCAAAGACAGATGTCGCTTCTGTTTTTAAAGCATGGTGCGTTTAAGCAGTTCAAACCCACATAAAGGCTTGGAGGAGCTCTGGTCCCGAAGTGTGTAATGTATTAGGCTACTAACAGAAAGATTGGAAGTTCAATTCCACCAGCTTCTCCAAAGGAGAAAACTGAGCAGTATCCTCTCATCAGGATTTATAGCTTTAGAAACCCAGTCAGAGGGTTACTTGGAGTTAGGACCAACTTGATGGGCTCCAAAGAGCTTCAAAGGAGAAAGGCATCTCTCCATAGATACTAAAGCCTAGAAAATCTATGGGACAGTTTGGCTCTGTCACACAGGGGCGCTATGGGTCCAATTCAAGTCAATGGCACCTAACAACAACAGTAGCCAAATTTAGCCAATGGACTATTTATTGCTTTCATAATCTTTTTTTGTTTTTCTTTCACCATCTTTGAGCTAACCTGGGCGAGCCATTTGCCCAGTGATGTTGGGGACATTGTAATTGCTCCAGTTCTAATATTCTATAGTCTAGGAGGACAATTCTAGAGGTGCTTCGTTCTCTAGAGCTGTCTCTTCTAAGATTCAGAAGGGCCATGGTTTGATATCCCAGCTTCTGTAAGGACATGGCCCCCGCAGTATCAGTTTGAAGAGTTAGACCACAGATAATCCAAAATACTGAATTGCCAAACCACAGGGGGGTTATGGCTTTCATTCTAGAGCCTCTAGTTTCATTCTCAAGCCCCCACAGTGTCTGTGGTCGAGCTCAGGGCTTGGCACACTTTTTCAGAAAAGCATGAAGTAGGAAATAATAGGATTAGGAGATCGGAAATAATAGGATTGGGAGATCATAGTACTAGCCTGTATCACTATACAGCTCTGCAATTGTAACACAGAAGCAGCCATTGCTGTCAAATAACCCACACACAACAGAATGAAACCCTCTCCAATCCTGCACGGTCCTTGCAACCCTGCTCTGCTGGGACCCATTGGTGCAGCCACTGTGGGCATCCAGCTCATTGAGGGCCTCCCTCTTTTCTGATGACCATCTCCTCTACCAGACATGAAGCCACTATTCATAACTCACAGCTGTCAAGTGAGTGCTGACTCTCTGTGACTCCAGGTCGCCACTGACATTGTGGAGATGAATGAGCGTGGCTGTGTTCCAATAAAGTTTTATTTGTACTGACAGGCAGAGTTGCCACAAAGGGATCCAGGGACCCAAAGCTCTAAAATACAAATGTTCTGGAATTCCTGGATCTAGATGCCCTATTGGAAGCAGGAGTGGCATCCACTTGTGTAATATCTTGCCTCTGGAAACCTTATGAACCTGGAGAAAGGATGAAAGTCACACAAGTGTTGAGGACTTTCATTCATAGGGTTGCTACGACTCGACAGCACTTAACAACAACAGATGCCCATGCCCTAACCATTCCAAGCCTGAGCCTTCATGCTGGCAATTTCTCTAAGTTCACCCTTCTGTCATTGGAAGCGTACTTGTTCCTTTGATGCTGAACAGGCTTTAAAGGCGCTTCCAGACTAAGATAGAGTAGGAATTAAGGCCTGGTGACCTATTTCTGAAAATTGACCAGTGCCAACCCTGTAGATTACAACGGTCAGCTTCACAGCTGATGACAGAGATGTTGCAGGATCAGGCAGGCACATTGTTCCACTGCGCATGTGCATTTCCATGAGCTTGATGAGAGCTAATAACAACAAAAGAGATTAAGGAGGGAGCTCTGGTGGCCTAGTGGCAAGAAGCTGCGCTGCAATCCCAGAGGCACGTGGTTCGAATCTACCAGATGCTCCGCTGGAGAAGGAGGGGCAATCTCCTCCTGTGCCTGTCGGATCCAATTTGATGAGAAAGGGAGGGGGGAGATTGAATATAAAAAAAGGTTAAGGGACCTTGGTATTCTGAGATCTCTCGATTCCAGTCTAGAGCTCTGAGTTCCATTCTAGGATAAAGATTCTAACAGTGGAGGGTTTAGGAAGGCAGAGTCCCAGCATGTGCCCATCCACTTGCCTTCTAGTACATTCCAACCCAGAGACCCTAGAGGACAGATGAGAACTGCCCACAGGGTTCCGAAGCTGGAAATCTCTCTGGAAGCTCACTGCCTCACCTTTCTCCCGTGGACTGGCTGGGCTGACCTTTCACTGGATAGCTGGATTCTTTAACCAGTGCACCACCAGCAGCACTCCTTGCAGCCTGCCAAAGTTCTGGAATTCTAAAATTGGAAGGTTCTGCTATCCCACAGTGCTGAGATTCCAGATGGCCATTTGCTGCACGTCCTGTGACTTGCTCGACTTACGACTTCCTCACATTACAGCTGTCTGTTTTTCTTTTTTCCATATTTTATCATTAGTGAGATATAACCACTTACAATGTCACTCTGCAGATTTGTTGATATTGTCACGCCCAGATGTTCGCTCACAGGTGTTCAAAGATCACGTTTATAAAGATACGGAGAATATAAACCGATAATAATGAAAGCTGGAAGGGAAAAAAGAATGAATGTATTCAACATAAATCAGAACCGGGATATGGTGGGACAGAACCTTGCTCTAAGCTGGGGATTACCTGTACTAAGAGGCTGTTATTGTTAGGTGGCCTCAAGGTAGCTGTGATTCATGGTGACCGTTTATTTATTCACCAGAACAAACCCTTGTCCCATCTTCACCCCCGTCTGCTGTGCTCAAGCCCGCTGTTCCAGTCCCCCTGTCAGTCCATCTCATTGTGGGTCTCCCGCTTTTTCAGTGACCTCTAAATACATAATGTCCTTCTCCAGCGGCTTGCCCCTCAAAAACATGCCCAGGGTGACTTCTAAGGAGCAGTCCACACTTCTTCTAAGACAGATTTGTTTGTTTGTTCTTTTGGCAGTCCCTGGTATATTCCAAACTGTTTACCAGTACCATTCAAAGGCCTCAGTTCTGCAGTTTTCCTTATTTATTATCTCATTTTCCCAGGTTTTTGAAGCAACTGAAAATGCCATGGTTTGGATCAGGTGCATCTTAGTCTTTAGTATGACACCCTTGCTCTCTTTTTAAAATTTATTTTATTTTTTTATTTTTCGTGTGTACCATCAAATCAGTTCTGACTGGTACAGGAGGAGATTGTCCCTCCTTCTCCAGCACAGCATCTGGTGGATTCAAACTGTGCACCTCTGGGATTGCAGTATAACCCGTGCTCTTAAGATCTTTTTTTTTAAGACCTTCTTAAAGAAGCCTTGATGGCAGGTTTGCCCAGTGCAATGCTAGAGCCAGAGATTCCAGCCCTCGGGCCAGTGTTTAGATCCTTGGATCCAAAGATTCTTGCAGCCAAGCGATTTTGCCTGCAGTATGTTCTAGAGTATTAAGAGTGTTCTAAAGCAAGGGAGCTCCGGTGGCCTAGTGGCAAGAAGCTGCACTGCAATCCCTGAAGTATGCGGTTCGAATCTACGAGATGCTCTGCTGTAGAAGGAGGGGCAATCTCCTCCTGTACTAGTCAGATCCGATTTGATGGTACACACAAAAAAATAATAAAATGAAGTTAAAAAAAAATATTTGAGAGCAGTGAGGTTCTGCCACACTCGGGTTCTTCTGTGCTAGAGTTCTCTGTTTTCAGGGTCCAGATTGGAGACCAGCTGGAAACCGTGTTCCTCCTGAGTGGGAACAACCCAGCCATTCATCTGTACAAGGAGGTGAGGTGGCGGAGGCGAGGCCCGCCTGGGGCAGGGCCTGCTGGGTGTGGGGATGGGGGTGCAGAGGCGCATTTGGGAGGGTGGCTGCTGACCCCGCAGGGGCACCATGCCTCTTGGTTCCCCTAGAATGATGGGCTGCATCAGTTCGAAGAACAGCCCGTAGAAAACCTCTTTCCAGAGCTCACAAATCTGACCAGTAGGTAAGAGATCTCAACCCCTGAAGCAACCTTGAAACCAGGCGGCGGGCTTGACCACTCCAGGACCTCAGGGTGGAGACGGCTTTAGAGACACTGGGCAGTGGGGATGAGCTCCGGAGAAGAATTAGGCCGTGGACGTTGGTTGGTAGTGAGAACCCCAGAGAAAATGAGGCGACAACTCCTGAGAAATCAGGGAGTGGGAATGCTGTGCCCCCAGAGAAATCAGGCAGCGGAGATTAATCACCTCAGCGAAATCGGACAGTGGGGCTTAATTATTTCTGAGAAACCAGGCAGCGGGATGCTACAGGGAGTGGGTGGAGATCCCTGAGGAGGTGGAGATATGAGCCCAGGACCCTCTGGCCGCCACCAGCGTCCTCTGGCTTGATGTCCACAACCTGCCTGGCACTTCCCGACGGCTCACAGCTCTCGGCTGTCAGAGTGGCTATGTCCGTGTGGCTCATGTGGACCAGAGGAGCCGAGGTAAGGAAAGGCGCAGCTGGGCTGCGGCTCCAGCGGAGAATATTCTAGGGATGTGGTCACTGTGGGCTGCCCCAGAGGGCGGAGCAGACTGAGGGGGTGTCACCCATTGGGCGGGGCAGCCTATGAGGGTGTGGCCACCAGTGAGGTGGGGGCTGGGCCTGAGTCCTCCCTCTCCTCCACACAGAGGTTTTGCAAACATGGACGATTCTGCAGGATGGACCTATCTCCCGTGTGATTGTGTTCAACCTCTCGGCCCCTAATGGTGAGCTCTGGACATAGTCACGGGTCTGGCCAGCTCACGTTGCCCATGACCCAAATTCAGTTCCCCACCCTCCCTCCCGTGCCCCCCCTCTCTGTGACGAACTTCCAACCCTAGAGCCGCAGCACCCTGCCCTCCGCTCTGTTTTCTTGCCTGTAACTCCAGCTGCTTTGTAACAGGCTATACCTTTGTGGGCCCCTCTTTGGTGTGGCCTGAGACTTCCACACTGGAGTTGGACTTGCACTTTTCTCTCTGTGGTCTAACCTTCAACCCTCGTGTAACAGCTTCCTATTTCCTCCTCTTTGGTCTGTTGACTTTCTTGTTGTGGTTCAACGCTGGGTTTTTCTCATCAACTTCCCAATGCTCTCCAACCCCTCAGGATGTCGCCCTTCCCCAGCTTGTTGCTGTATCCTGTGTGGCCAGCCCTTTGCTAACATATCCCCTTGCTCCGTCCTCTGTCCGTCCACCTGCAGTCCTAAGACTGGTCTCCACTCTAATTCCTCCCACCAGCGTTTATTCCCTGACGCTCCACTATGGTCTAACCTTGGACTTTTGTCCTGTAATCTAAACTCTCTCTCTCATCATGGTCTAAACTCAGCCTTTATAAACTGTCCTCTAAGATGTGTTCCGTCTGTGTCTAACCTCAGCCATTTTTCTCATGGTCTCACCTCTAACCTTCCCCCTGCAGTACAACCAAACCAAGACTTTTTCCCAAGGTCTCATTTTGCTTTCCTTCTGCTCAAGTTCCTTTTAGGAGGAGTTGCCTAGACCTTGTCTCCTGAATCCTCCTTCACTCATGTTTCTTCCACAGAGAGCAGGGAGCAGCCACCGCGGGAAGAGTACAGCGTCCTCGTGGCCAGCATGCTGGAGCCAGCCGTGGTGTACCGGTGAGGGGGCGTGGGGCACGTGGGTACTGCCTAACCTCATGATTTTGCGCTTCAGTCTAAGATGATGATTCTCAGAAGGCAATCTGTTATCTAGTAGTGCCAGCGTGACAGAGTTAACCACAAAGATGCCTTTAGAAACAGAAAGGAGAGCTCTGGTGGCCTAGTGGCAAGAAGCTGTACTGCAATCCCAGAGATGAGCAGTTCGAATCCACCAGATGCTCAGCTGGAGAGGAAGGGACAAGCTCCTCCTGTATCAGTCAGATCTGATTTGTTGGTACACACACACAAAATAAATAAAATTCTTTTAAAAAAAGAAGCAGAAAAGGGGGTGATCTTTATAAATATAAGTTTATTTTCTCACAAGTTAGGAATCTTGATGTCCAAGTTCAGGGTCTCTTTGTCATCTGTTGTTGTTATCGAGGTGGGGAACCGTCGAGTCCGAACTAACCCGTAGCTGACACTCCAGCAGGTTTTCTTTCTAAAGCAGTTAATCACACAGGAGGTGATTGCCCATCTTTCTCCTGTGGGGGTAGCTGGTAGATTTGAACCATATACTTTTGCATTGGCAGTGCGATTCCTCAGCACTAAACCACGAGTCATCTAGTGCTGGTATGACAGAGATAGCTCCACTCCTGCCAATTCTTTCGTGGGGGTGTTGGAGTCCCCTCTTCTCATCGCACTTTTATCTTATAGACCACGCTCTTTTTTTATTTTTTATTTTTTATTTTTTATTTTTATGTGCGTGTACCGTCAAATCAGATCTGACTGGTACAGGAGGAGATTGCCCCTCCTTCCCCGGCAGAGCATCTGGTGGATTCGAACCGTGCACCTCTGGGATTGTAGTTGCAGCTTTTTGCCACTAGGCCACCAGAGTTCCCCATAGACCACGCTCTTAAGAAAACTTTCCTTACTGTAGTGGGATTAAGGAATTGTTGCATTCCACCCTCAATCCTCGTGTAACTGTTTCTTTTCTCAGATCATGGAGAAATCATTCCTTAGCTTCCACGTTCTATTCTTAGGGATGTTTGGTTCGGGTTTTTTTGTTGTTGCTTTAATTTTTTTTTTAATATATGTACCATCAATTCGGATCTGACAGGAGGAGATTGTCCCTTCTTCTCCAGCAGAGCATCTGATGGATTCTAACCGCATACCTCTGAGATTACAGTGCAGCTTCTTGCCACTAGGCCACCAGAGCTCCCTTGAATGTGTGTTTCAAGGGGGACACCATTCAACCCATGGCATGGTCCTGTGGAGTGAGGATGCAGGAGTCCATGTGTCCTGAAAGGGAGATGGATTTCAAGTGTAGAACTCGTAGGACCTTGGAATGGGCACAGAGGTGGCCACACCCTTAGAGTGAGTGGATGAGGTGTGTGGCATGAGAGCTAGAAGTTTTGATGTGTAACATTTGCCAATTTCCGTGGTGTGAATACCTCCTACGACCCTGGATCGTTAGCTACCAACATGCTACCAAGAACCCGCCAGCCTGCAAAATTTCTGAAAGTTGGCCCTCCTGATGAGCCCCAGGTGTCTCAGCACACCGTCATGGGCAGTGAAGAGGCCTAACGTTTGGCCCAAGATGTCCAGGCTTCATAGGAATAACACAGTGTCCAGAATGAGTACTGTGACTTCTAGAACCCCAGAAAGAACGGCATGGTTTCTCGGTCCCAGTGAGCTTGTCCAGTCTCTAAGGGGTGGCCAGTGAGACACAACAACAGCACGAAGCACCTGGAACAATCTCAGAGTTGCAGCTCCCAAAATCAGTCCAATTTGTGTCCTTCCCCCCAAATTCTTGGCATACAGGAACCCCTGAATCCTCTTGTGTAGCTGCTTCAGTCGGGTACCTGTCTTATTCATGGCATCTCAGAATGTCATTTCTTGTCGCACCTGGTATCTCCTTGGACTTGTGCCATGGCCAAGTCCTCCCTTGATTCCCTTCCCATTGCTACAGCACTAGAGGTCTGTCAGGCTTGAGGAAGACCATTGGACTGTCCTGAGTTAATAGAAGCTGCTTAGTGGTACCACCCCCTTCACAAGGCACCCGGGGCTCATGCCATCGCTGTTAGATCTTAGATATGCCCCTGGGTGCCCATATCAACACCCAGAAGTGAACAATTTGATCAGTTTGACTCCTTCCACCTATGAAGATGCCCCCAGAATGAAGGCGGACTTGTCTAGATCTCAGAAAGAGCCGTGTGTCTCATTGTAGGAAAGGCGGCATATGGGCACATACATAGATCAGAATCTGATGAGAAAGGTGCAGGGTTTTGAATGGGTTCCTCCTGGTTTAGTCATTGTGCCCACAAGGCATAACCAGAACAGACACGAATTTGTAAAATGTGGCATTAAAAAAAAATTTTTTTTTTTTAAACGTGGTGTTCCAAAATAACTGGAGTGGGGAAAAATTTGAGGTCAGCATCATGCTAGAAATTTAATCTCTCTCCTAGAAAACAAGGGCTCTTTGTATGTTGAGGAAGGACACGGCAGAGTCAGGAATGACGGTGCTCGGCTCAAAGATGGTGTAAAAAAAAATTTTAAAAAAGGTGGTGGCCAACTATGTAGTACTGACTGTGTGTTATTCTCCGTGGTGCTGGCAGTTATCCAGTCTCCTTTGCCAAGCTTTGGAAGGGGCTCACCACACCTCTTCTGAGTCCCCCGTTCTAGGACTTTGGCTCATAATGTTATCTTTATGGTTATCCTTCTTGGTGTATCTACACTTCACAAAGTCAGTTCCAATTTCGCGGCATCAGCCATGACTGAACGGGTTCAAGGCCTACAAGGCCCGTGGACAACTGTAGTTTGACTCTGCACTTCCTCTGGCCCCCCTCAGGGACCTGCTACGTCGGGGTCTTGAGGACCAGCTTCTCCTCCCAGGCAGTGACCAGTTCGACAGTGTTCTCTGTGGCCTGGTCACCGACATGGATTTGGATGGGCAGCTGGAAGTCCTGGTGGCCACCTATGGACAGGTGGGAACTGAAGAGTGAGGTAACCCTGTCTCCCTGCTCTCCCCACCCTGAGTGACTCTGACCCCTTATCCTCCACAGGAGCTGCTCTGTTACAAGTATTGGGGCCCAGAGTCTGGGCTCCCAGAGTCCGAGCATGGATTCCGCCTGTTGTGGCAACGGAGTTTCTCCAGCCCACTGCTGGCCATGGCACACGTGGACCTGACAGGGGATGGGCTTCGGGAGCTGGCTGTGGTCTCTCTGAAGGGCGTACACATCCTGCAGGTGACTTGCTGGGTTCTCTGGGTGCATCCCCAAGAAGCAGAGCCCGAGGGGAAGTTTCCATTGTGCCCACTATATTAGGACAATCAGAATGGACAGAGGGAGATGCCAAGCAAGGCTGTGGGCTCTGAGAAGGTCTAGCCTCAGCCCTATCCCATCGGGAGCCCTGGAGAATGAATGATACCACACTCTTGCTGCCTGTGGGCAGTAGAATCATACCCCTGTGAAGGTCAGTCATTCCCTAAGGGGGGAGGAAATAACCTCACAGTTGTTCCTAGTGAGGTGGTTCATATTGGTCAAGTTCAGCTCTCAGAGAAGACAGCTATGAGCTTCACAGGAGCGAGAGGGTTGGGGGTTTATTACTTGTTACCACCCAACCCCTTTCTCTACCCTCATCCCCCAGAAAGCCCTCCTGGGTGCTCTTCTCCATCTCTTGTGCTTTCTTTAGCTGTCTCTCCCATTGTGGGCAACCTCTGGTCCACCCTTCAGAGTCTAGCCTTCAATCCATCCTTCATGGTCTAGCCTTGGACCCACCCTTCATGGTCTAGCCTTGGA